CCTCAGTGATAAGCCAAAAATCAGACACAGCCTCCCTTCCCTCATGAATATATCACAACACTAAATATGAAACCAACCAGGCTCGGTGGCTCAGTATGTAATCTTGCACCTTTGGGAGGCTGAGGTGAGTGGATTGCCTGAGCCCGCGGGTTTGAGACCCGCCTGGGCAGCGAGACCTCATCTTTACAATAAATCAAAAAATCAGCCGGGTGTGGTAGCGCATGCCTGTAGTTCCGGCTACTTGGAAGGCTGAGGCAGAAGGATCGCCGGAGCCCGGCAGGTTGAGGCTGTGCTCCGGTCTGGGTGACAGAGTGAGACTCCAACTCAAAAAAAAAAAAAAAAAAATGAAACCATAGCCAAGGATATCATGGTGCAGAGACCAGAGAGCTGTGCAAGTGTCATGGGATTTGCCCGAGTCCAGGGAAGTCAAGAGAGTGGTGGTGTCACGGGGTCCCTGAGGAGCTTGACCCTCTTCTAATCTCTTTGGCCCATTTCCAGCTACCCCTGATAATCCTACAGGATTAGTAAAACCTGTGGGCCTAGTTATGCAGCTCTGAGACAAGCTCACCTCCCTTCCCCGCTTATCTAAGCCTCTCTCTCTGTGTAGGCCTTTGAGATATATGGAAAGACTTCCTGGAAGAAGTGTCAGCTGAGCTGGCATCTTTCTCTCTTTCTCCGACCTCCCAAGTTGGGCTTCCAGCTGCAAGGATGGACAGGAAAAGCTTTAGTCTTGGAAGAGGTGGTTACAGGGCTGGGCAGATCTGGAGAGGGTGGGCTGGGTGACCACCCTGCTAACCTATCCGCCGGTTGCCTTTGTGTAGTGCCCAACCTGTACACCTATTTGAAGCCATCCAGGGCATTCAACTCCTGAACCCAACTTGGGAAGGCCAAGGACAGAGGAGAATGAAAGCTCTGTTGGGACGCCTTGGGGGACAGGAAAGTGATACCTTTTTCCTGTCTCCAAAGGTCACGCTGACTTTCAGTTGCTGCCAGCTTACCCCCCACTTCACTCCACCCCACCTGACACTCTGTCTCCGGACTTCCCCAGGAAGAAATTTCACTTCTTTTTCAAGGGTTTTGGCCCCAGCCATTCTGAGGGTGGAGGGACAGTTCACCGTGAAGGGGAGGACAATATATTTACCAGTTTGCTCAGGCTGGGGAGGAAAACATTCAGGGACTTTTAAATCCAGGGGAGGTGAACTGATGGAGTGAAAGAGGGAGCCAGGAACTGAATGACAAAGTTCAGGGTTTGGAGAAATCATGCTCACGACCCCAGCGTATGTGTTCCTGCCTGATCCTAGAGCCCCCAGGAATGTGGCCTTCCATGCAGGGACATCCCTCGGCTGGCACTAGGGACTGCAGCCAGTTTTCTGGATGTGTGACTAGCATAGGTTGCACAGGTTCTGAGCTCAGAAGACCCCCATGTTTGGTTTAATGCTTTGCTGTTGCTGTCTTGCAAGAATTCTTAATTTTTGGACAAGGAGCTTCATATTTTCATTTTGCACTGGGTCCTGCCAAGGACAAAGTGACAAAGTCAGTGCCCTGACCCTCATATTTGCACTCCAGCCAAAATGTCCAGAAAGATACCTGCCTCTTCCCAAAAGATAATTAGAGTTTGCCATTTTTACCATGGTTGGGGAGGGGCCCTGGGAATCATTTAATCCAAACCCCTCAGTTCCCAGATGAGGACACTGAGACCCAAAGAGTGAGAGTACATCGAGGCACTGTGAGAATTTTCTCATTGAATTCTCATGCCAGTAATGCTCAAATAGGTACTACTTTTATCCCATTTTTCAGATGAGGGAACCGGCTTGCACATTCTCCAGAGAGTGAGTGCCAGAGTCTTGACTTGACCTTGGCCTCTTCGCTCCAGTTTGGATGCTTTCCAAACAACCTCAACTCCGAAGTTTGGGTCTTAGTTTTTTCATCTGCCTAATGGGACTTGCAGGGTTGTCAGAGGACTTAGGGTAAAGATGCAACATGCCTGGCCTGCCCAAGGGAGTGCCACTGAGCTGGGCAGATCTCAGTGTAATCCCCGACGCTGCCATTTCCTGGCTGGTGACCTCTGAGCCTCAGTATCTCAACCTGTGTAATGGAGATGAGATTAGGAGCCCTGTCCTGGGGCATTTGTGAGGATTATATGAGTAAAAGTAGACGGAGTGCCTAGTTTAGTGTCAGGGGGCACGGAGGCCTCAGGAACTGCATCGTGTCCCAGCCCGCCGTGACCCGAGCAGGCATGAAGGGCAGAGTGGCTCTGAGTGTAGCCCATCCGTGACGTGGGGACAGCAGCCTCTGCCTCGCTGGGCTGTGGACGTGCCGGAGGGAAAGCAGGCTGGCTGGTGGGGTCATGATCAGAAGTGACATCCCCCGTCCTCCTCCTCTTCCTCTTCATTTTCATCGTCTCCCCTCTCCTTTTGGGAGGGAACGTCTGTCAGTGCTGTGGGAACTCAGTGCACACATGGTCAGAGTTACAGGCGCAGCTGGGGTGAGCACCAGCCTGTAACACAAGGACGTGCTCCTTGTGGATAGACAAGGGGAGGTCTGGGCTGGCCGCGGGAGTGAGCACAGGCCAGAGGCTGGGGTGATCCTGGGGACCAGGGCTCCGTGGGGAGGACGCTAGGCAGAAGCGGGGGCTCTGCCTTTGCTGGGGGGATGGCATCCTCTCCTTACCCCTCATGGGCTCCTGGCCAACTTCTCTTGTCTTTGAGCCTCCCACGGTGAGCCCAGGAGCACCAAGGAGTGGGATGCTCTGCCCTTTCCCCAGAGAAGCCGTGGGAGGCGGCGGCAGAGTGGGGGGGGGGGGGGCTGGCCTGGGCTGGGGGGGGTCCTAATGAAGCACTGCCGAGCTGGGCCAGCGTCCTGAGCACTGGGCCGGCCCATCTGT